GTATATAAAAGCCTGTGAGGAGGTGCACAGCTGAGATCGTTCCCAACACCTTTCCTACAGGCCCAGCAGCATCTTATTTTTAAAGGAGGTGAAACTGTTTCACCCTGGCAACTTCATGAAACAGGGGTGGCGATTAGAGAAAAATACATGTAGGCAGGGGATTGCCTGGTTTGCTCTGGATTAAGAAGAACATTGAAAGGATTTGACCTTAAACCTCTCCATCCGCTGTCTAATCACTAGTCCAAAAAACACAGATTTGGAAGAGAACCGACTGAGTCACCGGGTCCTTCTCTCGCTGTCATGTGCAATGACATCTTCTAATCCCCCCCCGAAGTGATGGGCTCTGTCTTGTGGCTTCTTCTCTCTTTTGCCCCCACTACCTCCTACTGGAAAGCTGTTCCAGAGCTTCGCTGCTCTAATGGCGTGAAACACTCTTCTCATTCTCAAGCTAAATGTGGAAACTTGTTCCCGCACCTCCATTGTCCTCTAACTTAAATAGTTCCTTGGAATTTACCAGCTCTGCTCCTTGGCGTACACAAGGGAGAGAGGGGAAAAATTCCTATAAAAGTTGTGTTGCTCTTGGTTCCAGGTCCTGCAGGAAAAAGGTCGTTCCGAAAGCAGCGCTGAGCGGGCCCTGCTCTCTGGGATGCTCCGTCCGGGCTCCCCGCACTGCTGCGGGCTGCAGGCACAAGCAGAGGGGGCTGCTGAGACCTGGCAGCTCAATACAAAGACCTTGGCTTGGCTGGTGCCTTTGCTGAGAAATTTTCCTACTTAGTGAAGTGTTGGTGGGAGTGTTTGGCTTTAGTTTTAATGTCTTTTGCTGTTATTTTTGAACGTGCATGACCAGGGCCTGTTTGTTAACCTCCTAATCACTCCCCCAGAGAAGTGGTGGCAGAAGTTTAGTGCTGAGCATGAGGATCTCCTGACTGTGGCATTAAGTAAATCCTTTTCTGCTTGCTACTCAGCTGCTGTTGATTTAATAATGTTGCTGTGCAGAAATTCTCATGTCTAAGTGCATGTAGGATGTGTATTACCTTCCTAGCACAGGGTAAAAGAGGCTTTGCCTGCTTGGGCAGGGCCTCCTCTCCCCTCTGCTTACCACAGAGGTGGACAGGGGCATGTGAGTAAGTTGAGTGACTCTGTGTCTTGTCTTGTAGGTGCTCTGGTTCTGATATTGCTCTATTCTGTGTGATTTCACTTGGGTAATGACTTCTGGGGATGGGAACCCTGCGTTTGAGTGCTGGTAAGAGTTGTAAAGCGCTGTATTCCAGCACCATCCCACCTCCAGGTCTTCTCTACTCACCTTTTGTTTTGTATACTTTAGTGTAGGTTCTTCTTGTTTATTATTGTTCTGTTTTTAGACTTTTTTCCCCCCCTCTATGGGCTGTTCCCCCCTCTACGGGCCGTGCTCAGTAATGCTGGATTCAAGCTGCCGGGTCGATCGTTCTGTGTGCTGGATTGTCCTTGGGTCTGTGGTAGCAAAGGGCTGGGGAACTTAGTTTCCAAATTCAATTTCGAGTTGCTCAAGTGTTTCAGTTTTGGTTTGGATGGTTCTCTAATCTCCGTCTGTGTCTTCCTTCTCAGATGAACCAGATGTAAAAATAGAACCCCCAATGTCCTTTTTCTGAGTCTAGTTTAGCTTTGATATTTGCTTTTAAACGAAATTGCATCAGGTTTTTATTCTGAAAGTCATTATAATTGTGCTCAACAGAAGTCTCTACCGCGTTCTGCAGCGAAGACGCTCTCCGCCCTGTGCCGTTGTTCTGGGGCGGCGATGCCTGAGGATTAGTGACTTTCTGCACTCGTGACAGTGTGTTCTGTTTAATATTTTCCCTGCTCCCTGGTAGTCTTTATTCTTTTTGGCTTGGTATAATGGAATAAAGTCATTTGCTTGGAACTTAGGAATTCCGGAGAGTTTTCATTAGGCTTTACTGCTGTTTGCAAAAACACTTAAAACTTTGGAGGCTTAGAAGAAAAAAGATCTATTCTGAGCAGGGCCCAAGTAGTGAGCAGTGCCCCAAATGGCAACGTAGCATAGTTTAGAGGAATGCATGCTAGTGACTGCGTTTGCTGGATCAAAACAGATAAAACAGCTTAAATAAAACTACTGAAATCCCCAGATGTTCAGGATGGAGAATCCGTGCTGGCAGTTTAAGCATTTAGCAACAAGGTGAACTCGAGCTCGCGGCAGAGAGGCCTTTGCACCGTCCAGGTTGCTGTGGCTGCCGGCGTTCTGGCTAAACCATCCGTGGCCAGTGCAGAGACATGAGCTCTGGAGAACCCTCCTTCTGCACTGGCTGCAGAGCCCAGGGAAACTAGTTCACTAACCTAAAAGGTGTCAGTGGGAGTGCCCCAGAGCTTCCTTGTCTGGTTGTGTAAAGACACTTACGTGAATTTAATCATGTGCTTGATAAAGTGTTGTCTTATCTTGAAGCCTGGGCTAGGCGGTTTTTGAAGGGTTTGAATCCGAATGTACCAAGGTCAGAGATGTCTGTCCTTATCTGCCACGTCCATGAGCTGAGGCTCATTCATGTGCCTCATGTTGAGGAGCACAAGTGAAGACCAGGACTGCCGTTGGCTTTGGGACGGCTGTAGCTGCTGACACGGTGAGTGTCACAACAGGCTCCAAAAAGCTTCTCTGCGGAGCTGGGTAGGAAGCCAAGTCTGCAGCCACCTGCTTGGTGCCTGTGGGCAGCTCTGCTAGAAACAATGTGGGCACTGGGGCTTCGTAGGAAGGTTCCTCTGGAGATGGTGTCATGAGGCTGCACAGAGCCCGGGAAGGGCCAGTCGGATGGGTTGAGACCCCGGAGATGGAGGATTGCACTGCTCCTTGGTGTGTGGTGCCACCGGTTCGCATGACCGGACTGGTGTGTGCCCATATCCCTCCAACCCGTTCACGTGGTGCTGAGAAATCCCTCCTGGCTTTCTATGAGTCTGGGGAAGGCAAGGTCTCGCTTACTTTCCTGGTCAGATGTCCTCAGCCAGGATAGTGAGAGCACTGAGAAATCGCTGATCAATTATTTTAACAGTGACATTGCAAAGAGAGTCCCCCTGGCCAGGCAGTGCTGAAGGGTTTCGCTGCTTAGTGATTTTTATCCCCTCTAGTTTGGAGGACACAGATTCAAGCCCCAAGACATCTTGAACTCTTCTCCTTCCTCGTGTTCCCTTTGGCATCTCGAACAATCGCCAAATTGTGCGGTTCTGGGCTGCAGCTGTCACGGCAGAGCAGTGCACAAAGAGCCAACGTGTGCGGCTCGCATCCCCCCTTGCCACGTGATTCTGGGGTCCGAGATCCGTATTTTTAAAACCAGAGCAGCAATGAACAGGAAGCTGTTATTGATGTGTAGCGGCCACATGATGTGTAGCGGCCCGGTATCCAAGTGCCTGGTAAGTAGGACTAAAAGTGCAGCCCTTCAGGGTGCTCCACTAGGTTTGCTGTGTTTGATGCTGTTGCCTGATGGAAGTGGAGCTGGGACCTCGGTGGGAGAGGATGCAATGAAGGAAAGGGGACCTGCAAGAGGTGGCAGGTAGCTGAGGCCAAGCTGAGAGCAGCCTTTCCAAAGGCTGAGTCTTGACCCCACTGATGCTGTATTGCTTTTCTGAAGCACGTATGTGCTGTCATCTCCTGCAGAACGTGCAGTTACGCTCCTGCATGTAGCCCAGTTTTTGGCTCCTTAGGCACTGCCTGGCTCTGTGTGGAGTCGGGGAGACGCACATTTAAGAGTCTGGTTTAAAGACAATATTGGTGGCATTGGGAATGGCTGTTGTCGGAACAGCTTCACTGAGGACATGGTGCCATCGAGCACGCTCAGCCCATGGCTCCTGACCTTCCTGGAAGCAAATCCTACTGCGGCTGCCTCCTCTGCCTCCCTCTGCTGCTGCTGCCCTGTCTGCCAGACACACGGCCACTTTACCCCTCTCCGGGGTGTCACAGGTCCCCTGGGCAGTGGTGGGAGCAACCAGCAGGTCCTCTATGCTGCAGGTCACTGGTGGAGGTGGCAGAAGGTGTCCAGAAGGGGAGAATGATGCTCTCGTGCCCCAGTCCAGCTGCCGCAGGAGTTTTGCACTCCCGGGGGTTTCTGCTGCTTGAAGCACCTGAGTTTGGCAGGTCCCACAGAGGAAAGCTTGCCGCCACCAGCATGGCGGGAGCTTTCTGAGGTGGGAGAGGAAAGTGCGAGGGATTAAAGCAAGGAAATGTGCATGAATATGTAAAATTCTTCCTCCTTGTTGCCAGCTGGGTGTACAGTAAACCAATAACTGGCAGCAGTCCTTGCAATGGAAGAAATGGGATGTCTGGTTGCCGCACGAGATGCTGAGACGGACGTGGGTGGAATTGGGTTTGCCAGGCCTGCGGGTGGGTTGTACGTGGGGGTTGATACCCGGATAACGACGCCTGTGGGGAGCCCCAATCCCCTGCAGAGGGAGGGAGGTGGGTGGCAGGTCCGGACGAGGAGCCCGGCCGCGTCCTCGCTCTGCGCCCGCGCCGCTGGACGCACACGAGGAGCAGGAAGTGCCGCCGTTCCCTTTTGATAAATAATTGCTGCGTAGAGCGTTTGGCATAATTACTGTGGGGGAATAAACAAATTACAGCAGTTTGCGAGAAGAGCAGAGCTGCCCTTGCTGACCAGGGAGCTGCGGGGCCTCTCGGATTTTGGGGAAGGATGGGATATGTGGAGATGGCCGTGGGCGAGAGGTGGAAGTGCCGGGTTTTGCATCCACCTTGCAGTTGTCCTCGTGTTGGCTTTCTCCAAATAACTGCTGCTTCTAAGGTGGCAAATTTGATTTTTTTTTAATTTATTTTGTGTGCACTTATAAGAATCTCTATATAACAATTAGTGTAATTATTAATATAAATGAACACCTGCCTACGCTTGTGTGTATATCTGATGCCTTTAGAGTCACAGTACTTGAACTCAGCTGACTTCTGAATTAGGCTGCTGACCCATTTTTCCTTTGTCTTCCTGTGCTAAATTTGATACCCTCCCCAAGTGCCGTTTTCTTTCCTTTTTCTTTCAGATCCAGACTGGGCCTCCCACAGCCTGGGAATCTTCATCTGTTTAAACTGTTCAGGAATCCATCGCAATATTCCCCAAGTCAGCAAAGTGAAGTCGGTCCGTTTAGATGACTGGGATGATGCTCAAGTTGAGGTATGTGTGTCTGGGACTTGAAATACCAGCTAGCTGGGGTCATGGTGTTTCACATCACTGGCACAAATGCCACCCACGCTCTGCTTTCTTACCAGAAAAGCTGTAAAACGCAGTCCTTTCTAAAGATGTCACAGCAAGCGTGATCTCGGAAAACATGCCTAAATAAATGTCGAGTGTGGGAACAAGGTCCAGCTGTCTCTACTTGCTAAATCCGCTTGAAAAAATGGAGGAACACTGTCACAAAGAAGCTGCATACGTACCCCACCACCACCACCACAAAGTGGGAACAATTTTTGAACAGAGTCCATTTATTAATAATTAGTTGCAAAATCATCATCTCTGCTGTTACTGACATCTTCCCCTAGCTCTTCTCCATCACCCCTGCCCAGCCCGGCAGCTTATGGCTTTTTCTACTTGGCACTGAAAACTTTTAAACTTGCATCGCATCTTGAAGAACTGAACTGCTATACAACTTCTCTCAATTTATGCACACACCTGCCAGGATCTGCATGATATTAGCAAATGTACCCAGGAAATCCATAGGCTTTGACTATTGTTTTCTTTAAAGCCATGAAGAATGCTACCAGTCATTGATTTTTATCTCGTATGTTGTAGCTTTGGGGGTTTTCTGGTTTTCTGAAAGCTGCAGTTCATGGAATCATGTGACTTAGGAAGAAAAAGGGCCTTTGTTTACATGTCTCTCTCTCTCTCTTTTTTTTTTTCCTCTCCCTTTCTTCTCTTCCTTGATTGTTGAACATAAATTGAATTTGTAAACTCAAGAAGCTCAAAAACAGGAAAATAACAAACCCCCTCGTTTCAAAACAACAACATTTAACCACTCATTTTGCTTGCATACTTGGCATGCAATATAAAATGAAAAAAAGAGCATGGGCTGCCTGGAAAAGGGTGTTTTTCTTACAGCTATGAAGTCCCTTTCATTAAATTTGAACAAAATTTATGAATAAGGAAATACATGGCATGTTTGCACTCTTTTCAGCTAGCCATTTGCATGAAACATCAAAAGGAAAGGTGGGCTATCACAGCAGGTAGGGTTCCTACCTATTATAGTTGTGTCTGAAGACGGCAAACACGTCCAAAATAAGTGTTACTGCTATTGAAACTATAATAAATCGGCTTGAGACCCTTTAGCTGCAGATCTCAAGACATCAAAAGGAAAGGTGGGCTGTCACAGCAGGTAGGGTTCCTACCTATTTTAGTTGTGTCTGAAGATGGGAAACGTCCAAAATAAGTGTTACTGCCATTGAAACTATAATATATTGACTTGAGACCCTTTAGCTGCAGATCTCAAGTGCCAGGTGTCAGCTTCTGCCTTAGGAGGTGATCTGCAGGAGTGAGTTGGAGGTGGCCTTTCAGAAAAGTGTTCAAGTACAAGTTTTCCAAGTGGGCATTGACCTCTATCAGAGGAAAACTCTGGGCTAGGCTGTTTCCCCTCTGAGTTAATCCCCATGAACATCCCCTTCCCGAGTGTGCAGCAGGACTCGTGATAGCGCTTGGGCTGCTGAATGCAGATTGTTGTTACACTCCTAAGAATCCAGGCTTAAATCTGGAAGTCTCTGGGCTCGCTCTAGACCCAGTCTTGGTCTCAAAGCTTTGCCTGAGAATAAAAAGTTAGGAAAGTGCTTCCTGCTGTTTTATGCTATACCAGTAGCTAATATAGAGTTTTTTTTCTGTCCCTTGCTCTCCTTTTAGAAAAGGTTTCTTCTTTTAATATCTCCACTGTGACATGAAACACTGTTATAGCACCTTTTAATTGTTTAACTTAAACTAAGTTAAATTTGGGAAGTAATCAAAGTCCCTTCTTATTTCAAGGTAAAATAGAATAAGTGAGGTTTGTCCTGCCATAAAACCTTTGGTGACTGCACTGTTGGGTTACTTTATAAAAGATGGCGAGTGCCGTAGACCACTTCATTGGTAGCTGGTGGTAAAACCCAAGTGGATGGTTGATGTGCATGGGAACAGGAGTGAATCATCACCAAGGAACTACAGCATGAAGGAAACCAGCACTTGCAAAAAACTGAATCATTTTGAAGGATTAGATGTGATCCTCATCAAAGCAAATAGCATGGGGGCTTATTGTCAGAGACTGTTACCTTGCTGGAGTCTTAACATATGGAGACTTAAAGTTAGTGTCAGGTTCTGCCCTCGGATTTGCCTAATTCCTGTGCCCTGGGAGCCAGTGCATTCCCCAGCCTGGAAGTGGAAATGTGTGAGACCAAACTGTGACCTGTCACTGCCTTCTGCTCCTGTGGGAACTGCGCGTGTGGGACCGGGCCAGGACCTGTCCCTAGGGATATTAAGCAGGTGAAGGGTCTGGTCTAGGGGATGATGTTGATTCTCATGGCTCTGGTAGCCCTACGGTCCCTGCCTGGTGGATGACACAGCCCCTGGAAGGGACAGTGGCTCCAGTGACTGGCAGCCAACTCGAAATGATTTGATAGCATTTGCTCTATGTGTTTTAAGCAAACTGCTCTGGGGCACTGAACAGCAGGAGTTCTCTGTGCCCTGTCTCCAAAATGATGCAGCCTGGATGCAATCTCTGGGAAGTGCCAAGGTTAATTCCTGAGCCCTGGCCCCCAGGAATAGCCCTTGCAGCACTGCTCCTGTGCACAGTCCCAGGGAAGCTTTGCAGAAAGGCCTTGTCCCAGGTATTTTATTGCTATGTAGAATGAGGGGAGGATAAGGGCCATTAACATTTCTTAATTCTGTCTGTTTTTCTCTGCTTTTTACAGTTTATGGCTGCGAATGGAAACAATGTAGCAAAAGCAAAATATGAGTCCAAGATGCCACCGTTTTATTACAAGCCAACATTTCTTGACTGTCAGTAAGTAAATACCTTTGCTGCTAAACCACATTTATTTGTGCAGCTGAAGCCTCTGTAATATTTTTGTTTTAGTGTGATACCTGTTTTTTTATCACAGTGGGGATTGCATTACAGAAGTCCCTGAAAAATGTTTGTTCTTTTGAATGCATATGATAGAGTTTATACTACGCGTGGGATCTTATTTAATAAACATAATTGCGTGATGCAGGGAAGCCAATAGTTTGTCTATTCCCTAGACCCTTCCAAGTTTCTGAGGCTATGAAAAAAGTCAATTTCTACCCATTGATTTCCTCTTCCTTCTCAAATAGCCCTTTTGTATTAAGATGTAACTTGCTTATCTGATGGACGAGGTGCTAGGTTGCTTGTACTGCCAAAATATTGTTTCTATTAGTGCCAAATAGTCGTGGGGGATATTTTTTTTCCTAAGTGAGAAAGAACATCCTAAGCTAGGACAGGTGAAAGGATGTTTTATCCTATCCAGTGTAGAGTAAACCAGGAGCCCAGCTTTTGTGGACCAGAATGGTTGAGCAGCCAGAACTTGTGCTGCTTAGGGAGCAAGGAGATAAACTGAAATTGTTTGTTCAGCAAGATTCTGTCCTAGAGTCCAATCTTGCAGAATGCTGTGGGTGCATCCTTGTAAAATCAGTGCTTCACAGGATTTGGTGTCTGCAGACATAATTTCCAGAGCCAGTGTTTTAGTATTAGCCAGTCCACGAGTGTAGAAGTACCTGATGTTCAACCCGATATCATTTAAATGGGTGTCACTGGTTGAAAAGAGAGGTTGGGCAGGGTGGCAGTGGGTATGAAAATGCCCAGTCCAGTTGTGAGTCTCTGAGCAGCCTTTTGATGTGTTCAAACATCACAAGAGCTGCCCAGAGCAGAAGTACTGAAGGAATTGTAGGATTCCTTGTATGAGAAGCCCATAACTAGGGTGCTTATGCACCAGGCTCTGCTTTATGCACCAGATCTGAAATCAGACTGAAGGTAGTTAAAGGGCTCCACTCATGAGTGCCTACACTCATCCTCAAGGTGATTTTATCTGCACTTTCACTCTGTTGTAATAGCTAGGAAGGCAGTAATTCTCCTGAATATGTCATGCAAAAAGCCTTTTACAGAGAAGAAAAAAGAGGGCGTCTGTCATCCCTATGAAACATCTCTGTGATTCATCCATTACCTGCTATTTGATAATGCTAAAATGTTAAATTTGGGAAAGCCCAGGTGTGAACAGCACTGCCTGGCCTGATAAGTCACTCATTCTCACAACTTTAGCAGATCTTGGGTTTGATCTAAAATGGCTTCTGGCAGCAGCCTCCACAGTTCCTACAATTAGAGAAATTATTTGAGGATTGGCAAAGCTGCTGTGTACGCACTTTGAGTGCATCGTGTTTATCCAGGTGGGATGTGTGTTTTGTGGTCCTAAAGTGTTAGCTCTAGCATCCTTTTTCATCCTTGTGCATCAAGTGCTTCTTGCATCTTGCTGTGTAGGAAGATTCCACTTCCTAAAATGGTGCATCTACTAAAAGAAATTGCTGCTAATTTCTCCCTTGCTTCTCCCTGACTTTGGGTTGAGACCAAAAATCTACAGGTTTTTGGAAGTCTATTGGCAGAGAGTTATTCATGCTTTTTTTTTCCCTTACCTTCTCCTTGGAGTCTCTTTGATACCAGGAAGAAAGTGAGCTGCAAAATACTCATAAGGCCCAGATTGCAGAGAGAGGTGGTAGTTGTGCCAACAGCAACTCCAAGGTGAATGCTGTTTTGTGATAGACAGGCAGCTCTCTTGAACTGTTTGGTCCTGAGAGGATCCAGTGCCATATTTATATTGCTGGGACCCAAAATCCCAACAGTCAGCCGTGCTGTTTGAAGATTTGTGGATGGAAAAGGAAGATTTTGACCTAGCTCCAGCAGTGTTGCTGCTGTAGTCTTTGCTAGGAGAAACAAAGTTCTAGGTGAGTTTTTGTCTCTGAGGCTCTCAAAACAATTTGCAAGCTCTGTGTTTGGGCAGAGATGCATCCTGATTGCTCCCCTGGAAGTTGTGGATCCGCAGATTTGGAAGTTAGTGCATATCTGAGGCAACCTTGACATTCCCACATCAGAGGACAGCTACTAAGCAGTCAAGAGTCAGAAATGGAGGAGGCTCATACAGATCTAGCTAACTGTAATTCCTTGCACTACATTCAGTGGCGTGATTTTAATATCTTTCCTCTGAACTAAAGGGAAACTGCTGTAGTTCAGTGTAATGGGAGTAAAATCCACATGCACATCATACTGAAGGCTTTTTGCTCAGGTTGTTTTGTCTTAAGTCTCAGTTAGACTTAATTAGCCATTGCACTCCAGCCTGAGCTGCTGTTTTTGCTATTGCTGGGCCCTCTTGGTGTCTGGGTTGTTTGTATCTTTGCCGGGAGCACCGTCCTGTCGCCTCTCGATGCTCCAGCGCTGCCTGACGGGGTGCTGAGCTCAGGCACAGCTGTCTGCTTGGAAGGGCCCTCTGGAGCTCGGGGGATCTGGGTACAAACCCCACTCAGCTCCTTGCACAGGTCAGACTGAGAGGCAGCCAGTTCTCCCCTTGCTGCTCAGGCAGCTTCGTGACCTCAGCCGCTTCTGCTCCTTCTGCTTTGGGGCTGGCAGGAAATATCTGCTTCACTCGGGCTTCCTTTGGTGATGCAGCGCGGCCTGTGTCCCGCTGCGCCGCCGCGGCTGCCTCCCAGCCTGCTCTCCCCGCGCGCGGGCAGGCCGTGCGTCCACAGCCCTTTGATGCCTGGTGGAGCCACATGCGGCCACTCTTAGCCCACGATAGGCAGCGGGTGCTTAGGCTTCCTTTGCTTGCTTGTCCGGCCGCCTTTTTTGCTCAGCAAGGAAGAGGAGGAGGCCAGGCTGACCCTCCTGCAAGCCGCTGCTCCTGGGCCAAGCCCTGGCTGTTTCGTGCTCGCTGGTGTGCGGGTGTTTTGCAGCGGGCCGTGTTTCAGTTGGGCTGCCCTGATTCCTGAGCTGCAGAGGCTGCCTGGAGCTCACGCAGAGGTGTCTACGCGGGTGCTCGCGCTGCCGCGTGTCGTGCAGTGACCGCTCATGCTGACACGTGCTGCGCTACAAGCAGCCACCGTCAGTCCTGGCTGGGAGTGTTTGGG